TATGAATAAAATAATGATACGTAGCTATAACAGAGAAATTAAGTATAAAGTTACAGCTGCCTAAGTAGTATTGTCGTTGCCGTCTACTGCTCTAGGGCGACAGCTAGAGAGATATCATGTTGTTTGAATATTAGTCTGCCCATTAGTATGGTTTGGAAATGCAAAGAATGAGAAAGAAGGTGAACACGTGACCAGAAACGTGTTAATATCTCTTATATAAACCTGTAATTTTAGGACAATAGCGGGTCTCTTGGGTGCATATCGAGTCGAAAAAGTATCCCGCAAGTCGGTTTACTCTCTTTTTTTCATTTTACTGGCAGCACTATGAGATTTTTCTGTTATAGATTTAGCACAAATAATGTCGACTAAAATAATTGTAGCCTATGTTCTACGCTGATACTATACGTAAACTAAGTCACAAATATTCATTTATCCTGTAGGTTTGCTCTCTTCTTCTCTTATCTCTGATATTATTTTCCCTTTTTTGTAGTAGAAATCCATTACATCTTATCAATTTTATTAATTATTCAACTGGTATGGATCAAAATATTAAATTTGATAATTTAGCTTTAAAAACACTACCTATTGATCCAGTAGAAGAAAATTATACTAGAACAGTGTCTAACGCATGCTTCTCTAGAGTATGTCTCTTCCTCTAGCTTTTATAGGAGTTGAATATATTCCTTTGCAGGTGAAACCAACTCCAGTTAAAAATCCAAAATTAGTCGCATGTTCATCGGATGCTCTTAGATTAATTGGAATCAACAATCAGGTTAGTTATACGACAGATGTAGACTCAGAATGATTCTAAAGGTCAGACGTTAGAGATTTGATAGTACAATCCGACTTCTGAGAGAGATAATCATAACTCTTTTCGTCTATAGAAACAAAATTCTAAACTGATTTTCAATCGATAATAATATCAGGCAGCTTCTATACTGTTAATCGTTAATTCACCGTTGAACTATTCGATTTTAATGTTCATTCTTTTCTCATTAAAATTAAATGAACAATGTGTTGCGCAGAACGAATATTTAATTGTTACAATTTTCCAAAATATCCTATTTTTAACCTAAGGAATTTTAATCTATCTATCTTTCAGCTAAAATTAATAATTATAAATTTTGTTCCTTCTACAATAAATGCATTCACCTTTTCCAGGAGACATTTTCCTTTAATGAAAAAGAAAATGACGTTCTAGTCTGATAAATGTACACCTTTCTAAGGTCTATGTTCTCCATTGTATGTTTAGAATGAGCGAGAATTAGCCGAGATATTCAGTGGTAATCGTTTGTTACCTGGAAGTGAACCAGCAGCTCACTGTTATTGTGGCCATCAATTCGGTTATTTTTCTGGACAACTAGGCGATGGTGCCACAATGTGAGTTAGCATCTCTCTCTCTCTCTCTTTCCATATATTTACCTAGTGTTCTAATAGGTATTTAGGTGAAATAATTAATGATAAACAAGAACGTTGGGAGTTACAATTGAAAGGTGCTGGAAAAACACCATATTCTCGAACAGCTGATGGCAGAAAAGTATTAAGAAGTTCAATAAGAGAATTTTTATGTAGTGAGGTAAATAATTAGTGATAAAATAAGAATAAGTAAAAATATCTGGTTCCTCTTAGGCTATGCATTATTTGGGAATACCAACAACTCGAGCTGGAACATGTGTAACATCTGATGATTATGTTACAAGAGATATTTTTTATGATGGAAATCCAATTGATGAAAGATGTACAATAATATCAAGAATTGCACGGACATTTATCAGGTAAGATTTTGATAACTAATAAAATATTATTTATTTAAATAAGAATTATTCTCACATTTAAAGAGTTTAGATTATTCTTACTGTAATAATAAATATATTGTGACTAAGATCCATTCTTTATCAACATATTGAAAGATGTGATGATATTTTCATTTTAGATTTGGCTCATTCGAGATATTTAAACCAATGGATCCATTTACAAATCGAAAAGGACCATCTATTGGTAGAAAAGATATATTAATTCAATTACTCGAATATGTTATATCAACATTTTATACAGAGGTAAAGTATTAGACAATTATTTCCTTTTTTACTAGTTATCAATTTTGTTTAGATATCCAATAAATATGGAAATAAAACTGAAGAAAAATATTTAGCATTCTTTGACGAAATTGTTATGAGAACAGCTCGATTAGTAGCTGAATGGCAATGTGTCGGATGGTGTCACGGGTAAATTTTTCCTTCATCGTTTTCCTTTCTCATGTTTTTTTTTATTTTATTATAAATAATTAATTTTAGTGTGTTGAATACAGATAATATGAGTATTGTCGGAGTAACGATTGACTATGGACCATATGGTGAGGAAAAAGATAGCAGAAAGAAAGATTTTTATCTATTTTTATATCATTTTAGGATTTATGGATCGTTTTGATCCAAATTTTATCTGTAATGGATCAGGTAAGAGAAATAATATGGATACTATTATAAAATTTTTCTTATTTTCTCAAACTTTTGCAATTCTTTTGATAACGAGAAGAACAGTATGAATATCCTATTAAGTGATCATTGAATAGAATGTCTAGTATTTGTGTGTCTATTTAGATGATAATGGTCGTTATTCATATAAACAGCAGCCAAGTATCTGTCGATGGAATTGTGAAAAATTAGCCGAAGCACTTTCACCCGTCATGCCATTGGATAAAGCAAAACAAATAATGAAAAATTTTGATATCGAATATGAACGATATTATTTAGATAAAATGAGACGAAAAGTAAGTCTTATGCCATAATATTTTCACCTAAACTGATTGCTAGAAAATCGATAAAATGGCCAATATTTTTCTTTTATTTTCATAAATTAGAATGAGACATTAGCAGTCACTGATGGTTTGTTTACTTTCGATTCGTCTCTAATTGCTCTCTCACAATTCGTCTCACAAATTTTTTTCCCAATTCGTTCCACTTTGCTTTCTCAATTCGTCTCATATTTTAAATACTTATTCTGCAAAAGTTCTCTTATATTTAACTTCTAGAAATAGAAACAAAAAAATATTATTAATACAGCGATCTTTATCTCATATGAACGGTCCTTCTGCATTTTACAGCTAATTGCAGATTTGTTATCTCCACTTTTTCATGAGTACTTCTCAATTTTTCATCAATTTTTTTCCGTTTAGGAGTTTGAATGGACGAGGATTTTTCTATGCACGATTTTTTCCAGAATTAGGCACGATTTCCTGTTTTCCGTGCACAAAAGAAACTGTTTTGACATTTTTGTGCACGGTTACAGAAATGTGCATGAAGATGTTTTTATGCACGATTTTTGAAGAACAAAGTTAATCTATATCCTATTGTTTGATTATTAAGTTCTTTTTATTACCAAAAATATAGCATGTAGCTATTTACGTTGTTTAAAGAACAAATATTTAGAGTGTATTGAGAACTGTGTGGGTTGAATTAATTCTCAAAAAGATGAACTTCACTCTAAATCAATTTTGAAAATTTATCATACAGTTTCAGTCAATAAGTCTTATTTGTATTAAATGTGATATCTGTTCATAGATCATCTTATTTGTTTAAGTCATCTACATATAAAACGAAAATATCTTTTATTCGTTAAAAAATCGTGCATAAAAATGTCAGAAGATCTTTTAGTGCAACGAAAATAGCAAACCATGTACAATTCTGGAAAAAACCGTACACATTTTTCCCAGTTTGGACATCAGGTTCTTCTGCGTGATAGTGCTGAAAGACATGTTCTTGACGTAATAGATCAATAAATTCATAGATATGTGGATGAACAGGAAATACACTTTCCAAATGTTTATTATACCCTTCTACGTCGTTTACTTTTTCGGTTTTTGTGAAACTTAACATTACAAACGTCACTCACACGACAACTTTTTGTCAAATGTAAATTTCTACTGTCTGCTTTAGACACGTTTCCGTACATATTTTTATTTATTTTATTCTGACCAGTATGAATAAAACCCTTGTTATTTTGAAGAACACAAAGAAAATTTACGCAGAATAAGTATTTAAAAAATGAAACGAATTGAGACTAAAAAAAGTGGGACGAACTGAGAAAAAAATTTGTGAAACGAATTAAGAGAGAGCAATTAGGAACGAATCGAGAGGACACGGTCACTGATACTCTAATATTGTATATGAACATGTGCATTGTACAGTGATATCATGCTTCGCTCTCGTCGTGTGAAAGTTATCGTTCTTTGTTCGATAAGAACAAGGAATAGTAACACCCTCACACGATGTGGACGGAGTTTGTGTTGCTTGTCGTGCCTTAACTCTGTCTTTCTCGAAGGAAACCATCTGACGAGACCCTTGAGAAAGGTCGAAATCGGTCGTGCTGTCTTCTTTGATTCTTTCAGAAATGAATTCTGTCTGAGTCTCTAGTAACTAAGAAGGCGGTTGTAAAATTACTAAATACTCTAATATTGATTGGATTTTTCTTTCTACTGGATTGAAGACAATTTAAACTCGAATTTTTTCAATGACACTACGATCTTCACACCTAAAATCTTCTGTATTATTTTTAGCTTGGTCTCATACAAAAAAACGTTGACAGTGACAAGTAATATCTCCTTCTCACTCTTTCTACGACAACATCTCTCTTTTTTTCTTATAGAGATTTAATTGATAAATTTCTTTCAACTATGCAATCAACAGGCAGTGATTTTACAAATTCTTTCCGTACTCTGTCTCTTATTCATTTACCTGGCACAAAAGATTATGATCAACGATTAGCTACATTTAAAACAAATATTATTCAACAATGTTGTGATTTAGATGAATGGAAATTTGTTAATAAACCATCGATTGATCAACAGTAGGCAAAGATACTCTGCTCTTGAACCATTGATAGGCGTTGATTGTAGTGGAAAACGATCTTTTTTTTATAGAACACTTCAAATGTTAACTCAATTGGCGGGTCAAAATGAAATGTTTTTACAACAATTCGGATTTAGTTCGGCAAGAATACAAGTTGAACAACAAAAAATAGAAAGAATGAAAAATATTGAAGTAAGTAAAAGAAATGCAAATTACAACTGAGAAAGTTTATTCGTGAATATCCTAGTGAAACTTCTTGTAACCAAAATCTTCACTTCTTGAATTTTTTCAGTAAGATCTTGATTCAAGATCATGCTCAGAAAATGTAAGAGTTCATGAAAGTTTCAAATAGTCAAGATCATCTTGAACTCTTGTACCAAGATCTGGATAATTCTTGAATCATCGTTTTGTTTTACGCTCTTCTGTAATTATAAGTGCGAATATTTTCATACTTAGAATAACTTCGAATTTTTTTTCTCTTTGAATATGTTGTTTAAGGAAGAATTTATGACTCTATGTGGTCGTATATCCGATGGCTATGACTGTCATAAATAAAAACAAAATGTAAAGAAAATTTTTCACTCTAACTCTTCTAGCATCATCTATTCGCATTCAATGTCCAAATCGCTTCCTTCACAAGTTTATTTACAAGTTTATTCGTTACATGGGAAGTAACGATCTCAATAAAACTTGAACGAAAAAGCAGGAGGGGAGTAGAAACAATTAAGCGTTTAATGTACTTTGTCCTGAAAATTGCATGTAAAGAGACTAGTACAGAGCAGCAGAGTTTAATAAACTATGATCTCTCTTCTAAGTAATCGACTCCCACCAATTATAAACAAGTTTTTCAACCACAATTACGCGACAGTGTTACATCTGCGCATAAGTGAGTCTGGTTATGCACACATAAACGAAGCATCTTAGTAGCCACAAGTACGAGGCGTTTTAACTTTTAGAGTATATTCAATATTATTCTCCTCCTGTGCTAATTCCACAATGAAAATAAAATTTATTTTTTCAGCTATTGCGACTAAATGAACATGTTGAGTCAGTGGCAGGCCGACAGCGGGACAATTGGGGCAATTGCCATACCAATAAAAATTTGTATGGCAATTGAAACTCGTTCAAGACTAGCAAAAAAAAAGTCTTA